ACCCAGTACATAAAAATTTTTAAATTGTTATACTTGGCTAATACATATCTTTAAGCATAATTGTGAAATACCTCAAGAGTATTTTCGTTTTTGTTATGAAAAAGTGAAGGGTGATACAGGTTAGTACGACGGTTACAGCTTTTTTATAAATATGGAGTTATACTTCAATCAATCATATGTTTCGACTGATTTAACATATTTAGCAAAATATTACCAGTTTGATTTTCACAAGAACTGTTTATTGTTTATTATAATATTTGTTGGTACACTGATGACTCTTATGTCTTAATGCTATAGACAAATTTGTCAAAATTAGATTTTTGATGGTTCTTTTTGATAATTTTCCTACACATTATATCTGTGTATTAAAACTAGTCGGTATTTGCAAATAATTACCAAAATAAAAGAGGATGTCATTCACTAGGTTAGGTTACAAAAGAGGATATGATTACCAAGCCTAAACGATCTGCTTGAGTGGACGTTTTGATTTACGCAAGAGAATGTATAAAGATTATAAAAAAGGCTATTTAACGCGACTTTAAATCGATAAAATAATACAGCTTAAGTCGGTTACTATTGTTCTGTCAACCTGAAACACTTTTTTTGCTCAATCATTCTCTCTACCTGCTTTTATTGATTCTCTAGTTCTATCTTGCTACGATACGTTGTAATTTAAGTTAATGCACTTCTGACAGAGGTCTTCAATCATTGTTTATTATGATTACTAAAAAATGCGTAATTTTTTTATTATAACCCAACTAAATCTGGCCTTAAAAACAATTTTATATAATTGACATATCACAATTCTGGAACTCTTGGTGTTTAAACGAAGAACAAAACATTATGTGTGAATATTAATAATCGCATATGAGTTGGTAATAATTGATAAACAAGCACTTGTTTTTGCTCTACTTAGATATATTAAGAAGTATACAAATCTGAGTGGCATTTGGAAGAAATAACGCATATACATATACTAAGCATATCACATGAAATCCTAAGAAAAACAGCTATCGTATAAATTAATTCACATATACAAACAGTTTTTAATATTACTACTTAATTTTTAAGACGATGGAAAAAATTCGAACACAAAGTTATGATAAATCACTAATCAATCTCTCATCAATTTAGTCTTTGATGTATGAAAAAAGACATTTTCCTCTTCTCCTACGTGAAGGTAGCTGATCATATTATAAAAAATCATTAAAATGGTACAACTCACTGGAAGATATCTATATAATATGCACACAGTATGTCGCACATAAGAACACAAACAGATATTAGACCTAGATGCCACCACCAAATAATTCATTATAGTTTACCAAACTTTGTTTAAAATGTTAAAATTCCGATGTTCCTAACTAATTTTTCTCTTTACTGACAAAAAAGAACAATAAAAAGCAAACAGTTTGGATTGAGAAGTTGATAAATCCCTCTTCAGTAAACAAATAAATACGGAAAATTGTAATTTCAGCTTTATCACAGACATATTAATGAATACTGCGAGGTGATTGAAAGACCTCTGAGTAAAAGAACACTTCTTCAAACATCATATACTACAGTTTTCAAATCTATCTAAAAACCAAAGTCCTAAGAAGTCTTGAGCACAGTAAGCAGTGTCGACGTGCTCTGTCTAGTTTCTAGATCGATCAAGGAGTAACCAAAATAAAAACCGATCACTTAATTTTTTTATAATTTCGTATTATTCCATTTTTAATATTTTTGAGTAAATTTTAGTCAGTCTTAATTGAAATGTGTGGATCCTGCGCAGATTGGCACGATAAAGCAATTGTTACAAGTTTCCGTAAAATAGATGAAATGTAGCTAGCAGTAAAATCCAAGACGGGCATTTCGTCTCCAATATCTAAGTGAATATATCATGTTGTGTTCTAATTACACCATATTATTACTATATTCCGAAAATAATAATTACAGAATTCATGCCAGTCTACAGGCATGATCAGCTTGATATAAATAGTAACACTAAATTCAGAGAAAAACATGTGATATGAGATTGTTTTAAGTTTATTAGTTCAAAAATTTAGGTAGTACATTTATGACGTGTATTACAACAACGTAATGCATCCACCGGGACCTTTTAATTCTTCTTAAGTGGACATCCTGTTGATTTTCTGTGCCATAACGATTCAATTATAATCATCTACAACTAGAGAAAGTAAAATGGGAACAGAGAGCACGGAGAAGCAAAGCAATAATTGCCGGTCAGGTCTATCATAATGCATGTGTATTGTGACTCGGTGATATACTGTTCATGTTAGATATTAATCAAATTAGTTAAGGTTGCCAAAGACAGTGTTAACGTAAAGTAACAACAGGTAGGTGGTTTTATTTGGTGAATTCAGTAATAAGAATGGCTAAACACTTATAGTTCCTATAATCTTACTTATGGAATAAGATACACTTACAGGTGCTAGAACATTTAATGCAGTAGGCATCAACGTAGCGAACAGAGAATTGAAGTGATTTCGTCTCATGGATAGATTGTGGTAGATTATTCTAGAGTCTGGAAAATTTACAGGTAAAGTAATTCATATAAAGAGATGATTTAGAATGGGTTTGTTTCACTAGTGACAAGGAGTTTGGATATCGTAATTAGAAGTTTCCGCATATTGAATTACTTGACTGGATATAAAGGGTAGTTTATTAAGTATTTTGAAAAGATTAGAATTAGTTTGAGTCTCCTCTTTCATAAAGGGTCCAGCCCAAGTTTATTACATTTGGAATTATAATTCGAGGTACAATCAGTTCCAAGAATCTTAAATGTAAATCGTCTGTGTACTGATTCCAGTCTCAATTTATCCTTTATACGCAAACTACTAAGAATAGACGTGCATTAGTCTACGAGTGGTCAAACACACACTTTGTTCATCAAAATACGCAACCCGTTGTTACAAATGTTTCGAGTTATATAACCCATAAGACGTTGAAACTTAAAGGTCTGCTTTAATACCTGTCCTGTAAACAACAAATCGTAGGAGTATCTAAGTCTACTACTGTATGTAACTTAGATAACTCCACACCATTTATGGTAAGATCTAAGTTGAGTGATGTATTACCAAAGTATATCCATCCACATTTAGCTGTGTTAAGCTCCAGATGCCATTTTGAGCACCACTGTGCTACCTTATAAAGCTCCATGCTGATGAAATTCTGCACATTGTTCAGCTCATGAAGAGAAAATGAATACACTTCTTTAAGATCATTGGAAGGGGCTTACCCACACGAAAACATTCATAAATATCATTGATAAAAACTAAAAAAAGCCTAAGATGCTACTTTGTATTACAACACTTCTGACAGGAATAGCGTTCAATAAGGAAGAGTTTATTTTAACTATTTGATGTCGGTGGCTGAAGAAAGAATCAAACCAATCAAGCACAGGGTTTTAGATCCCGTAACCAGAAGTTGTTGGTCAACCATATTGAAGGCTTTAGGACTGTCAAAGTATAGAACTAAGACTAGATATGCTTAGTTACGTCGAGAAAAAAGTGAAGTCAACAAATGAAAGTGGCATGTCATACAAGATCGAATTCTAAGGAATCCATGTTGAGAATCATTGATAAGTTTTTCAGAGAATGAATAGTTGGAGAGTTCGTCACCAACAATTTTTTCTATAATCCTAGAGATAACTGAAGTAATATTTATGGGTTGATAATTGTTCATGTCAGTCTTATCTCCAGATTTGTAACGTAGTATGATATACGCGGTTTTGAACAGTATGGGTAAGTACCTGCTTTCATAGAGAGAGTAAACAGCTTTGGAAGAAGAAGTAGAATATCTGGACCACTTTATTTGTAGAGAAAAGATGAAATCTCGTCTACTCTATGACCTCTCAAAACCTTAAGGGTATTTATCGCCTTACTAATTTTCAGGTATGTGAAAGAGATAGATTTGATTGAGTTGCTAGTCATGCACATGATTCTTGAAACAGTGCCATTTAGGAATTCTTTACCGTTCGCAAAAATACGACTGAAAAAGTCTGCTATAGTTTTAGAGTCGTATATAAAAGTACTGTTATGCAGGATGCATGGTATGTCAACATTTTAATTTGCATTAACGCGTTTATTGAAAAGGAGAATTAAGTTGTGTACTTTTGAGCTAGTACTAAGTGCTAACAGCTCCTCATTAATGGCTTTTAACCTGTGCTTGCTTTAATTTGGTCAGTAGGGCAAAAACATGGTGACGGGAAGTATATTTTTGTATGATAGAGCCATTTTAATATTTTTGATATTCGATCTGGAACCAGACGGTTCTGTATATGCTATCTTCTAACATGGTATAGACTTTTTGATCTTAGCAGTGTTTTTAAGAGCTTTCAGGTTAGAAATACGTATTTAGGTATGGGCTTCTAATGTTACATTGGAAGATATCGGATTAATGTCTCCATTAAATATACAGTGGTTACCTGAGGTCACTAAATGCATAAGAGGAAGGTTAGCAATCATCATTGGTAAATCAGAGTATTGGCTAACATGCGATAGATTAGCCACTATAATTTAAGGACGACCACTGAGCAACGTTAAAATGACCTTGAATATATCTACCTACCAACTAAGACTAAATGAGGGTTATAAAGCAGTGTGAGTAATTAGGATTATGATTTACAGTTGGTTGTTAGGGTTAGGAATTAGATTCAGGGTTTTGATCACTAAATGACATCAGTTATAGTACCACAACTCTATTTAGCTAAAGGAATAGATTAATTTCGCGTTAAAATCCAAGACCTGTTATTTTAAATTTGATCGGTTCGTTCACAAATTATAGTCTTCAACTTTTGCATAAGTCTTGGATTGGTGGTTTTATCTGAGACTATACGAACGTTCCTAAACTTCGTAAGCGCGCAGATTAACCGAGATTAAATAGAGCAAATTGGTTTTCAAGCTATCTTTTTACTGATTAAGAGCTTTATATTGTATATATATATATATAATGTCAAATTACCTAAATATTTATTGTTTGTTTTTAACAAACTTTAGCCTATTCACGGTAAATCAGCGACAAATAATGATGACAAATTTAAAAAACACCAAAATGCTTTTAATCAATTCAATTCAATTAAAATAACTACTTCAACAAAAGAGTCAGTTGTACAAAATGATCACGTCAGTGAAGATCAAAATAACGATAACAATCAATTTGTTGATTGTGAAAATCGTAGTGATTCCAGTGTTACTGATTCTCAACAATTATTATCACATCCAAGAACGTTATTCCCTCGTCCACAATGGTCGCCAAACCTTAGCTATTACATGTGGTCTTCTGTTCAGAACAATAAAAGTAAATCATGTCAAATTTTGTATATAAATGTTACTAGTATTACCAACGTTTTTATTCACTTCAGAAGTTAAATTTTAGCTAACTAATTTGATTAATTTATGATTTTTCCTTAAGTCACGCGTTTCAAAATTCTTCAGAGAGGCGTTTTTTGAGAAAACGTTTCAAAGTTGTTTATTGATTTGAATAGCTTTCAACCGACGAATAAAAGCACGTTTATCGATCTTAGTGAGAATTCAGGACAGACGTACACTGAACAGAGTCTTTGTTAATGTCTTTAGTATTCATTTTTGTATAGAAATAAATAATTAGAAGTTATTGCTTGTTGACTGAGGATTGATATTTTCTCGTCGTTCCTCAACTGATGAGTTCTAAAGAAAATTTTGACTTACTAATCGAGAAAACTAGTGTTGTTCAGTGTTACTACATTGCGATTAACAGTAACCATGGTGACAAATAAATAATTGGTTTCTTATTTATTCGAATTACTATGAATTTAACAGTGTAAACAGAACTTTCACCCAAGAGTTTTAGTATGTGTTAGTTTTTAGTTGATTTTTTAAGTTAAACGATATAAATGAATCATCAAGTAAAAATATTTAGTCTACTCAACTTTATCACTGAAAATATTCTACTCTAGTTTAAAACCAAATTGTTTCTCAGTTGATATATTATTTTAAAAGAGCTTACACATTCAATAATTTTCAAAAAAACTATTTCTTTGATATCTTGCCGACTATGTTAAAGAAGTTACCCTTGAAAGTACTATAAAAATATGTTGAAAAGCTAAGATTGACTACGATAACACTATATTAGTTACAAAAAGCTTGTTTGTAGACTATTTTATTTGACATACATTGTAGCATAAACTATGTCATTTCTGTAATAATTAAATTCACATACGGAAGGCCTCACACGAATAACAAACAAAATCATGCAGGTTACTGATTTTAAAAGTTGATTTCAACTAGATAGTTTATGAACACTTATTAACATTGAAGTAAATTGTATCTGCAACATCCTATGAAGAACTATTAAAACTAAGGATAAGAAAATGAGTATTTAGTATTATGTATGACTTCCTAATACAGTGTACCCATCATTGAGACACAAAATCGCGTTATCTTAGTGTGAAACATATTAGCTTCAGCACCCTCACAATTTTCATTGAACGTCCTGAAATTGCCGGTAAAAGTTGATCCTCACCATTAAGTCTATGTACTACACGAACATCGTTCCAAGTCAAATCACTATCTAACACTGAATTATACTTCAATATTATACTTCCGGAGAATTTCAGAGTGAGATATTCAAACTCAGTGGACAACTAATAGTGAATATTGGTAAACAAATGGTCAAAAACTAGGAAGAGATGTATATCTATCGTCCTAATGAAGGAAGATTTTCTAACAGCAATAAAATCTTCATAAATAACGTCACTGACTCATGAGCAAATACTTGTTAATGACTTATTCAAACATATATTTTCCAAAAGTCAAGTGAGATATTATTGGTAAATGACGATAACCAGATAGGTACTGATAAATTTCATTCAGTGTTCTTGTTTAAGTATTGTTTGTTCTTCACATTGATGTTTAATTGCGCATCGATTGATCAAATGTTAGTTTCATTTTCATTGTAATTATTATTGTACTATGTTATACTGTTCAAATATGAAGATGATATTCCTATTTTTGGTAAAAAGAACCTGACACATTTTCTCAGCAATTTGAGAACACCTTCGAAATTCAATAAGAGAATAATTTGTACTAATCCCGAAAAATTAGTCGTAAATCATTATTTGAAAATAGTGTGGATCATAGAGTAACTAGCACAAATCATTACAATGAACTAGACGTAATCTGTTGAAACATGCACACTTATAAACATGATACATTTTCTTATCTAAATTACTAAAATACAACTTTTTATTACTGTACCTTTTCTATAAACTATATACATCAATTAAGTGTATGAGAGATCATCATCAGTGAAATGGATTATAAGATGTTTACTTCTATCAATATTTTCTATTGTTTCCTTCTGATAACACTCGTCAGCATAAGTGCTTAAAGTAAACTTCGATTTCAAATATAAGTTATTAAATAAGACTGACCAATTTATTCAAGTCAATGGATAGTAATATTTAGATCTTTTATATCTAGCTCATCATTGGTAAGATTGAATTATAGTAAAAGTTATTTAATTAAGATATTGAGAATACTTTTTTTATACATCATCGCATAATGTAAAAACATATGCATCCCATTCAATGTGAAACTATTATTTTATTTGTGTACTCTTTCCTCATTCCATAACCTTTGTTAATACCATCGATTACAATATCGTTCATTGAGAAGACAACAAGTAGAACAATGAATGCGTTACGCTTTCAGGCTGTGTTTAGTCTAAATATTTAGTTTCTGGTTTAATATTGACTAAAGAAAAATTACTGGCTACTAAGTAATTATTAACATTTGTTGGAATTATTACATACTAACAAACTTCACAGTTGAATAAATAGGTATGTAATTATCAATAAATGATTGATAATTTAGCATTACAAATATCGCTGTTGCTTGGTTTACTTAGACCAGAAATAATCACCTTAAATTGAAATAATTATCTAGTTAAATAATAATGTTAAGGAGTAGACTTAGTGTATTTTGATAAAGGTTTGTTGCCGTTACTCTTTTGCTTTGGTAACACTATAAGGTGACACTTTTGTTTTCAATTGACTTTGGATTGTGTATTTCATGTACGAATAACTTTCGTAGCCTATATGAATGGATTTTTTTATTGCTGTTAATCAAATAGCATCTTGTACTCGATCCTACGATATTATGAACAGAAGCATTAGTAATACAGATGGAATAAATACATATCGATTGATGCCTGCCGGACAAATTTCTCAAACCACAAGACATTTCCCACGTTTATCAACAGCTGAAATTCCATGTGAGCGACCTAAATCAGCCCCGGTGAAAAATTGTAGAAAAAAAATTAATCTTGATTGTAAAACTTATTCTGTTCATTATCCTGGTTTATTGGCTAATGGAAATATGAATATATGTTAAACAAACAAAAAACGAGTGAATGTCTTCCTTCCTTTGCGACAAACATCGTTTTCCAGAATCTATTGTATTTATTTCTATTTAATTTATGGTAAAAACTGTGATATTTTGATTTGGCTATTTTTCATTCTATTTTCAATTTGAAATAAAAGTATTTTACAAATGTACTGTAAGATTTAATTATGATTATTGTCAATTATTTTCCTTTTTTCTACCATCAATATCCATCAAGTAATTATTTTTGAACGTTTCAATTTCTCGCATAACTTTATTTGTCTTTGTACACTTTCATTTGATTATATTTATCGAGGGTTTCCAAGAAACAAAAAAAAACACACTGAATTTTTATGTCTTCCAGTTTTGGTGAAGTGATTCAACATGTCATTCATCATTTATAAACAATTGGTTTTTATTATCTATCAAATAATATCGTTAGAAATTTCTTATCAAATGACTACCTCTATTTTTATATACATGTATTTAAAGACCATTTATTTCATAGACGCTTCATTAATTTTAAATGCTGCCTCATGACGAAACTCAAATAACAGTTCAACTGTTGAATACCAGTAAAAAGAGAAAATGAACGTATGCTTTTATGGTCTTAAATTGTAAGACGAATTAAGGAAATACTGTTTAGTAGATGAAAACCGGTTGAATTGCATAACTATATGCTCGTTATCTGTTATTCAATTTTCTGTGATTCAAGGTAATTCTCGTAAATCGTTACGATTAGATTTTTAAAGATCAACTAATTTTCAGGACTTAAAAAGAATGTTAATAGCAAGTGACCACCCATGATTATTGCCGAAAACCTTAACTAATTGGATTTATGAACACTGAGGTATTATAGTTTGTTACTTAAACAGAGACTCGTGATTGTTTTTTGTATTATCTGAAAAGTGAATGACTTAGAAGATTAAAAGTCACTTGAGAATTATTACAAAATCATTTTTAACTGATCATAATACTAGGAGATAGTAGTAATCAGATGTCAAAATAAGATTGCTAACTGTAACTCTTCACTTCTGCAAGAATTCCAAATATAAAATTACAGTGAATTGTTAATTTTGACTAATTTTACATGATATTTCATGCAGCCAGATTCATTGACAAATTTAAAACAGAGCAAGAACAACAAAATATTGCAGAATCAAATGAATCCATTCTATTTCACGGTTTCTCATCAGCCGCATACAACCTTAAATGACAATTGCTAATATAATTATTAATAAATGTTTAGCATACTTTAATTTGTGAACTTTAGATAAATGATCGAAACGTAGCCGAAATCATAAGAAGAAGGAGAACAGAGATACAAAGTATGTAAATAAACTTAGTTGATGTCGATGTGTATTTTTATGCTGGGAAATAATAATTCAGAGGTAATGTAAAGGTAATGAAATTACTAAGTGGTTGGGTAATCGCTCAACATGATATAATAAACAAATTATTAATAAGATGTTCTAAGAGACGAATATCAGAAGACGATTTGACAACAAATATAAAAGGTTGAGAACAGGGCTGGAAAAATATTAAAAGTTAAAATCAATAAGGCCTATTACGTGAACACTCAATCACCATGAGAGGAAAATGCAAATCACATTTTTCTTCTGTAGACATATATTAGGTCGTAAACGTTTGATAGCGAATGCCTTAGCCAAATAGAGTAAGATTGTTTTTGTCTGTTAATTATTTTAAGTGCATTTCTTTCATTTATCTCATGTCTACTATCGAGATGTCTGAGAATTACACTTGTAAAGACTTAACTCCACTATGATGATTAAGAGTATTCTAACTAATGTGTTAACTAAGAGTTCCGGAAATAGTGCAATTTAAAAGAGGAAGAACTAGATGAGCACAAATGAACGTATTATATTTGGAATTCGTAATCAGTGGGCCATCAATTACAAAGGAATCTTGAGTTCGTACAAATACCACATCCCTTTACTAATATTTTTCATCCCTGTTTACACGATATCATCACAGTAAATAATCAGATATGTGCAGTCAGGTGATTTGGATGGAAGAGGCAAGATACCTGTGGAAACAGTTTCGTTCTTTAAAATCCAACTATGTAAAATGATATAAAAATTAAGTCGTTTCTTCAAGTAATAGTGATCAGTGTTTTCGATACGGTTTAATTACGTATGTATACTTCAATGTACCAAAGAAAATTATTTCAGAAAGTTTGACGAATGTTTCTGCTGGTGATACATCAAATGTTTCAATTAATGACATATTAATAATGTAAATGAAAATGATTTTCATTGAGAAAGAATTATTTATCCTAATTTCAGGATGGAGAAATGTGTATTAACGTTTGATTTATGTTCTTTTATAAGATAGGAATGAGTTCTATATGTATGTATATCTATTTAATGCATTACAGCTCAGTTTATAGTAAGTTTAAACACTTCTTTAATAAACATATATAAATATAGGCATTATCATAGAAAAGTTTAAACTGACCATGTTCCTGGCTTTAATGCTAATGTATTGACATAATACAAAAAGTAAGTCAACAAAAATAATAGTCAATATTTTATAGTACTGACAACGACCACATGGGTACGTCTGTGGATGATTGTTTTATTTCTGTTACACGAGTACGTTATATGACAATGTTTAATTACCTTATCTTTAAGCACATGTAGAGAAGTAAACCAATAGATTATTAACCATGTTTACACTTTACGCATATGTCATACCTTTTTGTGAAATAAACCTTTTTTAATTTTTATATGCAGTTATGTTTTAAGTTAAACAATATAAATGAATCATCAAATAAAAATATTTAGTCTACTCAACTTTATCACTGAAAATATTCTACTCTAGTTTAAAACCAAATTGTTTCTCAGTTGATATATTATTTTAAAAGAGCTTACACATTCAATAATTTTCAAAAAACTATTTCTTTGATATCTTGCCGACTATGTTAAAGAAGTTACCCTTGAAAGTACTATAAAAATATGTTGAAAACATAACATTGACTACGATAACACTATATTATATTGAAAATTCCCATACTGACATTTTTTTAGTAAGGAAGGAACGAATCGAGCAAAGAAATTTGTTTTCAATTAGCTTTACATCATGGTTCTACATATATATATATATATATATATATATATATATATATATATATATATATATATATATATATATATATATATATATATATATAATTTACAACAATGAAATAATACTCATGAAGTAGATACGCTATGTAATAATCATATTGTGACATATCTATTATAAATTAATATTGGAAGACAAGAATAATAATAATCAAAGTACATTTTTGATAATCAAGTAGTTGCTACGTTGCATAATATATAAAAAGAGAAGGAACTAAAAAAATATTTTGATGAATGGTCAGCAGTATAGTAGTTATGTAAGAATCAAGAGATGAATGTTGAGAATAAGTGAAATACAAATGTGCAAAGGATGGAAGACATACGAAAAAACTTTATCAAAGTTCTGCTACAAACACTATATTAGTTACAAAAAGCTTGTTTGTAGACTATTTTATTTGACATACATTGTAGCATAAACTATGTCATTTCTGTAATAATTAAATTCACATACGGAAGGCCTCACACGAATAACAAACAAAATCATGCAGGTTACTGATTTTAAAAGTTGATTTCAACTAGATAGTTTATGAACACTTATTAACATTGAAGTAAATTGTATCTGCAACATCCTATGAAGAACTATTAAAACTAAGGATAAGAAAATGAGTATTTAGTATTATGTATGACTTCCTAATACAGTGTACCCATCATTGAGACACAAAATCGCGTTATCTTAGTGTGAAACATATTAGCTTCAGCACCCTCACAATTTTCATTGAACGTCCTGAAATTGCCGGTAAAAGTTGATCCTCACCATTAAGTCTATGTACTACACGAACATCGTTCCAAGTCAAATCACTATCTAACACTGAATTATACTTCAATATTATACTTCCGGAGAATTTCAGAGTGAGATATTCAAACTCAGTGGACAACTAATAGTGAATATTGGTAAACAAATGGTCAAAAACTAGGAAGAGATGTATATCTATCGTCCTAATGAAGGAAGATTTTCTAACAGCAATAAAATCTTCATAAATAACGTCACTGACTCATGAGCAAATACTTGTTAATGACTTATTCAAACATATATTTTCCAAAAGTCAAGTGAGATATTATTGGTAAATGACGATAACCAGATAGGTACTGATAAATTTCATTCAGTGTTCTTGTTTAAGTATTGTTTGTTCTTCACATTGATGTTTAATTGCGCATCGATTGATCAAATGTTAGTTTCATTTTCATTGTAATTATTATTGTACTATGTTATACTGTTCAAATATGAAGATGATATTCCTATTTTTGGTAAAAAGAACCTGACACATTTTCTCAGCAATTTGAGAACACCTTCGAAATTCAATAAGAGAATAATTTGTACTAATCCCGAAAAATTAGTCGTAAATCATTATTTGAAAATAGTGTGGATCATAGAGTAACTAGCACAAATCATTACAATGAACTAGACGTAATCTGTTGAAACATGCACACTTATAAACATGATACATTTTCTTATCTAAATTACTAAAATACAACTTATTATTACTGTACCTTTTCTATAAACTATATACATCAATTAAGTGTATGAGAGATCATCATCAGTGAAATGGATTATAAGATGTTTACTTCTATCAATATTTTCTATTGTTTCCTTCTGATAACACTCGACAACATAGGTGCTTTAAATAATCCCTTTGTCATTAGTATATTCTAAAACAAAATAGTTTGTTAAATATTTATTCAATAATTTTTTACTGAGCTTAGGTCGGATGTCTTATCCTAAAATAAAATAAAAAACTTTCCATAGAAACTTGATAAATAAACTTATACTCCTATGTACATATTACTAATATGTTTATCTATTATGCTGACTGAAATGACGTTTTTCTTAATAAATTTTTTTTAGTATGATTTCATGTGGTAATA